CATCCAAACATGTAGTCAAAAAATAAATTAGCTTATGTTTGTCAAACAATGTCTAATTTAATATATTCGAAACGGTGGGAGCTCTACAAGGGTGCAACAAGGCCATGGGCATGAATGCACATTGCAATTACTTCATCGACCACGGTCCATCATAGGTCAATCTGGAACTATTGTGACGCTTTAGAATTGTCACCTAAGTTGGCAAGTGTCAAAAATCTGTAAATATGATAGATTCAAAGGGCATATTATTGTGTATATAGAAGTAGGGGTGCTCATGGGTTTGGTTGATCGGTTTGAAGACATTTGAACAACTCAACCCAATGCTTGCGGTTTGAAAAATCTTAACTCAACCCAACCCAAACCAAAGTGCAACCCAACCTAACCCAACCCGTACGGGTTGGTCGGGTTGATACTTTGGTACATTAAAATATTCTTTTAACCTTGAATATATTATTTTTCTACTCATAATTTTTTTTCATTATCAACTATTTGATACAACTTATCCATACTTCTTACGTATATCACATTGAGTTAGTTTTTTCAATTTACATATATATGTTCACAGTTACTGAACATATATACAAATGAGCTATATAAAGATGTGAATAGATTGAAAATATGTGCATATGAATAGCGTATGTGATAGTGTGACTGTTTAATGTACATATTAATATAAATTTAACGATAATATTAAATCCAAGAAATAAAAGAACATCGGGTTCATCGGGTTGGGTTGGGTTGGGTTCATATAATAGCAACCAAATATCAACCCAACACCTACAGTTTGAAAATTTTATAACTCGATTAGACATCGGGTTGCTTCGGGTTGAGTTATTCCGTGTTGGGTTGGGTTAGTTGGGTTGATCGGGTTGGTCGGGTTTTTGAGCACCCCTATATAGGAGGCCTTCTTTTGAGAACTTGACAATTTGTGGTAACTGTGAGGTCAATTTTAAGCCACTAAATGATATTAAATTAGGAAATTATTAGTTTTGATGACTTTATACAAAAATCAGATAAAAGCATTATGGGTATTTATAATTCTTCTTTCTCTTCCTTCCTCCCTCTTCTGTCTCTTCTCTCTCCTTCTTCATCCCCAACCTTTTGAACAACCTTCATACCAATTTTTATGAACACAGTATCCACAAAACACATACATCCCCAATACGTTCAACTACCATCCCAATTTTTGTGAACACATAGTGCACACCAGGGCAATTTTCAAACGGGGTTATGTGGTAGGATGACAGTGTGCATAATATGCATACCATCTCGATTTACGAGAATACATAACGTTCACAAGATCTTTATAAATCTTCTCTCTCCTCCTTCCTCCCTCTTCTGTCTCTTCTCTCTCCTTCTTCATCCCCAACCTTTTGAACAACCTTCATACCAATTTTTATGAACACAGTATCCACAAAACACATACATCCCCAATACGTTCAACTACCATCCCAATTTTTGTGAACACATAGTGCACACCAGGGCAATTTTCAAACGGGGTTATGTGGTGGGATGACAATGTGCATAATATGCACACCATCTCGATTAACGAGAATAGATGACGTTCACAAGATCTGGATTCACCGGTGGCATGCATACTTTGTGATCACATTGTGCATACTTTGGGAACAAAATAATTATGAACACCTGATGCACTATATTGAAATTGAGGAAACGAGTGATGAAAGAGAACCCTAATTAACCCAACAATCAAACATAACCTAAAAATCAAAACCATAACCTTAACCTAAAATCAAAATCAAAACCCTTAACCTAAAATTTAATATCAAAAACCCTAACAAAATCCAAGACCAAAACCAAAATCAACATCAGCCCTACATGTTTTGTATGATAAAGGATTCAACCAATGAAAACCAAAAAGAAAACTATAGAGGGGAGGAGAAGAAGAAGTCGTCGCCTGTGATGGTGGTTTCGACGGAGAAGAACTCAGTTGTAGCAGTAACCGAAAACAACGACGTAGAGAGGATGGTGTAGTGGTGGTTGAAAGAATTCTCGCATATTATGGTGGTGGTTTCAAAGGAGAAGAAATCGTCGAATACAGTGTGGTCGAAAGATTTGTGGTCGCTGAGATCATTAAGGTACCTAGAGTTTTTAGTCAGGAGATCTGTCGTTTTTCAAAATCTAGCGCCTACTTTTATTGGGTTTTTCAAAACCAATAGACTCCGATGGAATAAGAATATCTCAAGAAAATATGAACGGGTGAATTATTGCATAAAATCAGAAAAAAATATATTTATCTTTGCTTTCAATTTAATTACATAGTCTCCCATAAATAATGCCACATACGTAGAAATTACAAGATAACCCTTTATTAAATAATTAATTTATTAAAAAAATTAATAATAATAATATGTGGTTTATAATGGATCTCACAGAAATAGGAGTTCTCAAAATATTAAGCACCTGTCTATATATACCTAAACATCAACACTGAAAACACAATAACTCTAGCTTTTGAAATCTTTGAAACCGTAATAGTTTAACTAGGATCATCATCACTAATGTGGTGTTGATAATCGATCTGCAGATGTTGCTTCACTGTATTTTGAGAGACAATTCATAAAAAAACCCAAAGTATCTACGATAGAGAGTTTACTTGTCTTGAATTAATAAGTTGTAGTCTTTATTAACTCGTTTTTTTATTTTGGTATCTAAGATGTAAAGTTTTTTAAACATTTAAGTACTAGGATAACCGGTTGAAGTATTAACCGGTTAATATAATAATGTGATGAGTGATGAGATAAAATTAGGTTGAATAGCAAATAATACAGAGTTGGATACCACATCACTCGTCTAAAATAGAAATTTGTTTTAAGACACGTTATTACTACATCTATACTATATTATAAAACATTTGACAAAAACACTTAAAAACCACATTTTATACGTAAAGTACTGTTTATTAATGCATATTACTTAAAACTCAAGATTACAAGTAGATTGTGCGTAAGTACAACTTATTAAAGCTCCATATCTGAATTTGTATAACTAACTGCAGATAAACATAATCAAATACATGATAAACATCTCATTTTAAATCTAAAATATAATTAGAATAATCATTGAATTCTAACAGAATACTTAATTATTATATTTATAAAATGTTATATTATTAAACCAAAAATAAATTATTTCGTTATTAAACTTAGATTAAATTATAATAAAAAAATAAATTAAAGAAATTACATAAAAAATGAGAACATTTTAAATAGTTGATTTGATATTAACATTGATATATATTTTTTTCAAATTTTTATGATATCTTCAAATTTATATTTTATTCAAATATAAAATCATTATTGCTTTCTTAAAAACACGTAAAATCATATTATAACATCGACAAAGACAAATATTAAAATAAAACATTAAAATCGAAATATGTTTCGCTGCATTGCACGAATACTCTTCTAGTACATTTAAAAATGTAAGAAAAAAAGTCGATTAGTATTAAATAAATTGTAAACTATCTTTTTTAACAAATGATTTTTAAACTTTTAATAATTTTACAAAAATAAATCTTTTATATAAATATAAAATCATATTTTTAAATTTATTAATGAAAACAAGTATTATATATACTACCTTATAAAACAGATTTTATAAAAGCCTTAAAAACAACTTTTTCAGCATATAATACTACTCTTTTTGAATAATTTATTTATGCATCTGATTGAAAACTTGAACTGCTTGTCAATGAGTATTGCTTCCAATCAACAACCATGATCAACAACGTCTGTTTTATGTTGAAGTTTTCGATTTCATGTAGAAATTTCTGCTTATTTGGTTTAACACAGTCATGTACCTTTCTTATCACCAATCTTTAGGGGAAAACAGTCATTTTTTGACAGATTACGAAACAGCCCACAAAAAGAAAAACAATCATTTTTTGACAGATTATGAAACAGCCCACAAAAAAAACAGTCATTTTTTAACAGATTACGAAACAATCCATAAAGAGTGACGGATTACGAAATAAAGAGAATTCAATGGTCAATACTCAAAGAAAATAACAAGTTTGCTTTCTACATCAAACTCATGGCTTACTTCACCAACCTTGGATTCTAGTTCTAGCTCCACTTTAATTGATGCAACTTATTAATTTATTATATATTTTTATTATATTAATAATTTAAGACTTGTTTTTCTAAGATGAAAAATGGCTCTTCAGACTTGAATTTATCAATAATTAGTTAAAATAAAGTTAACCATGTAATTAAATTAAATTTAGAAATGAAACTATATTAGTAAATTGAATTTAAACTTAGAAGAAAATTTAGAATGACTCTTCAGACTTGTACTTTTGAAATAACTCTGAAGAATGA